GTGGGGACAGAGTGTGTTCCAAGACACATCCTTTGATACAAAGAGTTTTGCAAATGGTCCCTCCAGAGGCGGTCACCAGGAAACGGTTATACAGCCCAGCGGCTTGGGGCAGGGGCAGGGCCCTCGTCCCAGTGGCCAGGAGCTGTGTGATAGCAGAGCCTGGCAATGGTGAATGGAAAGTTGGCTTGTTATGCAGTAAATCTCTCCCCAACACTCCTTCATTTAGGGCTTGACTCGGAGCCAGGGGAAGCAGCTTGGGAGACCCTGGAGCCTGAGAAGCCACTGGGGCCTCTGCAGGCCTCCTGGTTGGGGCCTCAGCTGGAGCCGGAAGGGGCTGCCCCTCTGGATAAGCGGAGGTGATGAGAGCTGGATGTATGCCGTCCACCAGGAACAGGCCGCCCTGAGAACTGCTGCAGTTCTACTGTCCCAACACATGCGTCACCCTCTCTCTCCGTCCCCTAGGAGGCTCGTAATTGGTCGCAGAGATGGAGAGCAGGGCAGCCAAGTCACCAGCTCTTCTCCTTGCAGGAAGTCGCTGTGGGGAGGTGAGACGGTTGGGAAGATGCTGAGCAGAGACCTATATAACAGCTACCATAGGCTGAGTGCTTTCTCTGCGCCCCACCCAGTGCCAGGCTCTATGAGCGTTACTCATTTAATCTGAGCCAGTCCCCTTTCTTCTCCCCGTGGGGCTCTGTGCTTGTCCTTTATAAGACTTGTCAGAGTTGTAGTAGAGATACTCATTCACGCGTTTGTTTAATTTCTGTCTTCCTGCTAGACTACAGACTCCATGAGGGCAGGGTTGGGTCTCTGTGCTCTCGGCTGCAGCTCCAGCACCTCACGTGCTGCCTGGCATGGAGCTGGCATGCACCAAGTCCTGGTTGAATAGACGAATGATCCTCACAGCAGCCCGGTAAAGCACGAACTATTAGTTTCCTTGTTTCAGGACGGGCAAACTGAGGCATGGAGAGGTTGGGTCGCCCCAACCACAGAGCCAGCAGGTGGCACCCAGGATTCGGAGTTAGGGTGAGCAGCCCAAGGAGTGGCCGTGGGGCCCACGCTTGGCCAATAAAACTCAAGGTGGGGAAAGTGAGACCCCTGTCCTTTTCGGCCCTTGGCTGTTGGGACGTGAGATGAGGGCTGCTGGTGGCTGTGATCCTAGCCTAGTGGGGCAGCAGGTCTGAGGGCATGGTGTCAGAGAGAAGCAAAGGCGAGAGAGAGAGATTGATTTTGAGTTCCTGGGCATAGCCATCCTTTCACCCTCTCTGTAGTTGGAAATGAGAGCCAATACATGCCTTCTTAAGCTTAGACTGGCCTGGCTCACATCCCTTGTACTTGTAATGGAGAGTTCCAGTGGACATGGTGATCAAACCCACTCCCACTGTCAGTGTAGTGGGAAGACTTGGGTTTCAGTTCCAGCTCTGCCAGGCACTCAGTGTGTGACAGAGCAAGTTCCTCTTAATCTGGGTCTCAGCTTCCTCAGCTGTAAAATGGGGATAATCATTTCCAGCTCTTAGGGTGGGAGTGGAGAGTACTGAGAGAGTAGTAAGGTTTGAGTCTCAGCGCCTGGTATGAAGGAAGTGTTAGCTGCCTGCCCTGCCCAGATAGGTGGCTTTCAGCTGCAAGTAACAGAAAACTCATCCAGGATCACCTTAAACAATGAGGGTTTTCCTCATTGCATGCCATGAGAAGACCAGGGGTAAGGCACTTCCCGGGTGGTGAATTCAGAAGCTCAGCAGTGTCCTCAAGGATCTAGGTTCTTTCTTTTTCAGCTCTGCCATTCTCAGAGTGTCATACATTTACCTCAAGGTCACGAGATGGCTGCCCCAGCTCCAGGCATCACCCAGTGTAGGCCTGAGGAGGAGGTGTTTCTTCCTATCTCCCTTGTAATAGTGAGGAAGACATTCCCAGCAGCTCCCCAGCAGACTTCCCCTAGAATCGTCTTATGCCCATTGTTACACTGAGCATTTACAAGGGGAATAAAGTACCGTGATTGGTTTAGAGTGATTAAGAAAGACTCCAGGGGGTCTGAACAAAATTGGTTTTGCTAGCAAGGAAGACAGGGACAATGACTGTTGGGCTGTGTCTACCATACTTGTTCACAGAGGTGCCCCGACCATCTTCCACAGTAGATGCTCTGTAAGTCCTCACTGAAGGAATGACAGTGTGCAGTGAGCCCTCGGCCCTAGCCGGCAGAGTAGAATGGGCAGGAGTTTCTTCAGATGACTGTGGCTTCACGTGTTTAAGAATTTTTCCAGCCCTGGGGAAAGCACCCAAACTCACATGCTTATTGGGAATGGGGTGGGGACCCGCAGTGGAGGTGTTGTCTCGGTGAGACCAGAGGAGCCAGGTTTTCACGGCTGCCTCAGTTCCAGGAAACAGTCCTGATCCAGGTCCACCCCGGTTGGCCTGGAGTTCTGAGGAGCAGGCAAGGAGGGCGAAGGGGAGGGGAGCCAGTGGACAGAAGTCACGTGGCTCCTGTGGGGAGGGCCCTGAGGGCTGCAGAAGGTGGCAGCCTCCCTTGGGCCACAGCATGCAAATGGGGGAACCAAGCTCCTTTTCCATCTCGTATTGAGTTCATTCGGTGTATCTTCACTGAGCACCTGCTATGTGCCAGGCCTGGGCTAAATCCAGGGGCTACAGTGTGAGTAACACAGGTGTGGCCCCTACCCTCTTGGGGCTTACAGTCTAGTGGAGGAGGTGGACATTAATCAATCACAGAAGTAAATATAAATTGTGACTATGGCAGTGACAAGAAGGGAAAGCATGTGGGACAACCCCACGGAGAGCCATTCCCGTAGCAATCCAGGGGGAAGATGGGGGAGATGGAGACAAGTGAGTTTATGGTATAATTAGAAGATGAAGTCCATGTGTCATGATGATGGGTCAGCAGTGAGGGGAGGAAGAGGGAGGAGTGAAGGGTGCTACTTAGGTTTCTGGTTCATCTAACTGGATAGACAGTGGTGCCCTTTGGAGAGATAGAAAACACTAGAAGAGGATCAGGTTTGGAGGCAGAGGGAGGGGAAGCACATGAATTGGGTTTTAGTCACGTCCAGTTTGAGGTATCAAGCAGGCAGCTGGATGAACAGATCTGGAAGCAGCAAGACTTCTCAAGCTCTCCCGTCCCCGGGACACAAGGAAAGATTGATGGAGCCCTGCCCTCCTCCCTGTTTTTCCTCTCTGGTCATTATGAGCCTGAGGCTGTGTCTTTACATGAAATAATAATAATAAGTACTGATTACTTATCCTGAGCCGGGCTCTCTTTTTAAAGACTTGACATATTTCAGCTTATTGAAGCCCCATGACAACCCCGTGGAATAGATACTGTTATAACCCCCACTTTACATGTGGGAAAACAGAGGCCAGAAATCATCAGCAGCCTATTGCCCCAGGTCAGGTGGCAGAGCCCGGATCTGGACCCAGGCAGCCTGAACCAGGGCTGTGTTCTTAACCACAACTCCACCGCAGCCTCCCGTGTGTGCTGGAGGCCGTTTGTGTAAGCGTCAGGGACTCCGTGCTGGGACGCTCGTCACCGGAGACTGACAGAGAGCTGTTGCAATCCTGACCCCGTGACAGCGCATTTCGTTGGCACCAAGATTCTAGCAGGATTCACGTTAGGGAATTTAGGAACCAGAAAATGAAATTTGACAGCCGACAACAAAGGCGTCTGAGTCGTATTCTCTGCCTTCCACGGGGATGAGACCCCGGGGTGTCACGCCGGGGGTCCTGTTTTCCTCTGCGACCCCAGGCAGAGCTCAGCTCTTTTAGCTCCGTGAGAATGTCTCTGGGGTGGAGGCGGGCTGTGCGCAGGCCCTGGGGTTCATGTGCAGGGAGGGGACACGGTGCAGCACCGGGGCCGAGGCAGGGGTGCAGCCGCCCAGCTTCAGCTGCCGTGCTGCCGAATCCTCCTCTGTTAATTCAGACGAAATGGCCGTTTTACCAGAATGTGTCGACTGACAGGACTGCAGCAGCTTTTTTTCTTTTCAGGACTTTTCCCCTTACTTCTTAATTGTATTTGTTTATTTATTTACTTATTCATTTTTATTTATTTATTTTTTATGTTTTTGTGAGGAAGATCAGCCCTGAGCTAACATCCGTGCTAATCCTCCTCTTTTTGCTGAGGAAGACCGGCTCTGAGCTAACATCTATTGCCAATCCTCCTCCTTTTCTTTTTCCCCAAAGCCCCAGTAGATAGTTGTAAGTCACAGTTGCACATCCTTCTAGTTGCTGTACGTGGGATGTGGCCTCAGCATGGCCGGAGAAGCAGTGTGTTGGTGTGCGCCCGGGATCTGAACCCCGGCCGCCAGTAGCGGAGCGCGCGCTCCCAACCGCTAAGCCACGGGGCCGGCCCCTTAATTGTATTTAAAACAGAACACTGCAGAAGAAAAATGTCTAGCATAATGAATTACTGTAAGGTGACCACTCTGGTAAATTAGCACCTAAATCAAGAAATGGAGCTCCAGAAGCCTCTCCATGTCTCGTTCCAAATGCAACTCCTTTCCACTCCCCAAAAAGTAGCTCCCATCCCGACTTTTATGGTAATCATTTCCTTGCATTTCCTTACAATTTTATCACCTGAGAAAGCCTTCTTAAACTCTACCATTTAGTCTTACCTACTTTTTAAAATTAAATAAAATTTTTAAATTGTAGTAAAAAGCACGTGGCATAAAATTCACCATCTTAACCATTTTTAAGTGTATAATTCAGTAGTGTTAAGTATACTCACATTGTTGGGCAATATATCTCTAGAACTTCTCATCTTGCAAAACTGAAACCCTGTACCCATTAAACAACAACTCCCCCACCCCTGGTAACCTCCATTCTACCTTCTGTCTCTATGGATTTGACTGCCTGAATACCTCACATACAGTATTTGTCTTTTTGTGACTGGCTCATTTCACTTAGCATAATGTCCTTAAGGTTCATCTACATTGCAGCATGTCAGAATTTCCTTCCTTTTTAAGGCTGAAAACATTCCATTGTACGTATTTATTTACCACATTTTGTTTATCCATTCATCTGTCAATGGACATTTGGGTTGCTTCCACTTTTTGGCTATTGTGAATAATGCGGCGATGAACATGGCTGTACACTTAGTTTTTTATTTGATATGTATTTTAAGTCTCTTTTAATCCAAAGATTCTCCCTCCATCCCTTTTTTCGTCTTTTAATTTATATGTTGAAGAACCCAGGCGTTCGACCAGCAGAACTTCCCCAGCCTGGGTTTGGCTGACTGCGTGCAGTTCAGCACGTCCTCCTGTCCTCTGTATTTCCAGTAAATTGGTAGCTAGATTCAGAGCCTTCAGCAATTCAGATTTTGATTTTTTGGCAACTATAGGTGGTGATGTGTTCTTTCATCAAAAGGCACATATAGGGGCGGGCCCAGCAGCGCAGCGGTTAAGTGTACGTACTCTGCTGCTGGCGGCCCGGGGTTTGCAGGTTCAGATCTTGGGCACCCACCCACGCACCGCTTGTCAAGCATGCTGTGGCAGTATCCCATATAAAGTAGAGGAAGATGGGCACGGATGTTAGCCCAGGGCCAGTCTTCCTCAGCAAAAAGGAGGAGGATTGGCATTGGATGTTAGCTTAGGGCTGATCTTCCTCAACAGAAAAAAAAAAGAAAAAAAAGGCACACATACTGCTGTGTTATTGTTTTGTGTGTATACGTGTAGGGGGTGATGTTAGCAGCTGTTGATACTCAATGCCTAGATCCATTAATTAATTTATGGTACAAAATGGTGGGGTGCTAATTTGATCTTTTCTTTTTTGTTAATTAGCTGCAGTAACTTTCTTAACATTTAGCCATCAGAGAGAAATAATACCACAATCAGTGCAATATTGCTTTTGTGTGTCTTACATATTTGTCTTTTGCATAACATTTTATTTGAAGAAAGTGTCCATTGCTTATAAAAATGAATAAAAGAGCAGAGAACTTCTAGGTAATGATAATTGAATCCATCAGCTTTCACTCTCTCAAAATCCTACTAAATTGACAGAAAAAGTATTTTTTTGAAGGTACAACACTTGCAAGGCTAGGGAAAGCAGAAGAGGGCCAACAGCAACAACATTTTGGGTAAGTTGTAAAGGATTTGGCATCCTCTAATTGCTTCCTGAGAGAGGATACATGAGAGGTCTATATTTTGAGACCTTTAATCTCTGAAAATGTCTTTATTTTACCTTCACATTTGATTGACAGTTTGACCGTGTATAGAATTCTAAGTTGGGGATCATTTTCATCCAGAATTTTGAAGGCATTGTTCCACTGCCCTCTGTCCCAGTGTTACTGTTGAGAAGACCAAGACTGTTCTAATTCCCAGCTCTTTGTAGGTGACACTATTTTTACTCTTTCTGGAAGCTTGTACGATCTTCTCCGTGCTCTCAGTATGTTGAAATTCCACAGTGATTCAACTTGGTGTGGATCCATTTTCATACATTGTGGAGATAAATACCAAACAATCAGTTTAAAGGGGTGAAAGTTGTTAACTCCAGGGAAGGGCAATGGTTGGGGGGGACTATGATTTTCATAACAAATCTTTTGAACAATTTGACCATTTTTGTGCACGTATGCCTTTGATGTAAAAAGAAAAACTAAAATTAGCAGCTGGCCCAGTGGCAGAATGGTTAAGTTCTGTGAGCTCTGCTTCAGCAGCCCAGGTTCATGGGTTCCCATCCTGCGTGTAGACCTACACCACTCATCAAGCCCTGCTGGGGCAGTGTCCCACATACAAAGTAGAGGAAGACTGGCACAGATGTTAGCTCAGATCTTCCTCACCAAAAATAATAATAATAATAAATAAATAAAAACTAAAATTAAGAGAAAAGACAAAGAACGAGTATGGGTTTAGCAGTAAGGCAGACCCGGGTTTGAATCCTGAATCTCTTACTGGGTTAACGTTGATTGTGAGTCACACAACATCTCTGAACCTCAGTTTTCTTATTTAAAATGGGGGGGCGGTATTCCAACTCTGTCCAGACCACGTGGTTGTGTGAGAGAGGATGTAGAAGATTTCATAAGCTGTGAAGAATGAACCTGCAGAAGTGTTAGCAGCCCTCGTAAGACGCAGAGGTGCCTGGGAGACTGCGACGTGGAGGCTGTGTTTCCAGCTGCCAGAGGACCTTGGGCAAATCAAGAGGGTATCGTTTCCTGCAGTCCAGCCTTTACTTCCCTCCTCTTCCTTCTCCATTCCCTGCTAGTAGAGAAACACCAGTTTGTTCTACGTAGTAGAAAGTGGACCCCAGTCAAACGCTAGCCTTGGCCGGGCCCCACTGTTGCCTGTGGTGCTGAGTCACCCTCAGCCCTCTGTTAGGGGGCTTCCTCTCAGTTGTGTGCCCCTCATGCTCTCATTCTCCAGCTTCCAAGTCTGTTCTTTTGAAGCCATTTCCTCCTGGGAACTGAAGCTGGAATTCAAGGAAGCTGCCACCAGTCAGATAGTGGAAGCCAGGCTTCCCCAAAGCATGGCTAAACACATCACGGATGATAGCGTACCTTCTCTCTTAGTTAAGATACTTGTGTACAAGTGAGGGAAAGCTACTATTTTTGGTCTCAAAGCAAACTGGCTGGAGCTCTGGACTGAGAAGAGTTCTACAGCTGAGCTCAACGAAAAGGAGTACGGTGATGAATTAGCAACGTCTGCCATGGGTACGAGGGGGAAAGTGGTAGCATGCCCACCAGTGATAGAAATGGTTTTTTCCTCTTTTTATTGGAGTATAAGCTTCATAAAGTACACTAATTTTAAGTGTACAACTTGGTGTATTTGTGCGCGCACACACATACACACACACACACACGTTCCCACCACCTAGATCCAAACACAGAATATTTCCAGAAGCCCAGAGACTTCCTAATGCCCCTTTCCAGCCACTACTCTCTCCAAGGGAACCATTATTTTGACTTCTATCACCAGAGGTTAGCTTTGCTTGTGTTTTACTTCATATGAATTGAATTAAACAATACGTACTTGTGTCTAGCTTCTTTCACACATAATGCCTGTGTGATTCATTCATGCTTTTGGGTGGTTTGTACTTGCTCCTTGTTCCATTGTGTGGATACACCACAATTTGTTTATCCATTCCTCTGTTGATGAACATTTGAGTCATTTCAAAGTTTTGGCTATTATGAATGAGGCTGCTATAAATAAATATTCTTGTACATGTCTTTTGGTGGATTGAACCTGTCATTTCTGTTGGGTATTTTATGGACTGAATGTTTGTGCCTCCCAAAATTCATATGTTGAAGCCCTAACCCCCAATGTGATGGTTTTAGGAGGTGGGGCCTTTGAGAGGTGGTTAGGTTTAGCTGAGGTCATGTAGGTAGAGCCCTCGTGATGGAATTAGTGTCCTTTTAAGAAGGGGAGGAAATGCCAGAGCTTCCTTTCCTTGCCATGCGAGGATACAGCAAGAAGGCAGCCGTCTGCCAGCAGGAAGAGGGATCTGACCAAGAACCTGACCATACTTGCACCTTGATTTTGGACTTCCAGCCTCCAGAACTGTGAGAAATAAATGTTTGTTGTTCAAGCCGCCCAGTCTATCCAGTCTATGGTATTTTGTTATAGCAGCTCAAGTTACGATAGTAATATATATATATCAAGGAGAAGACTTGCTGTGTCATAGGGCAGGTGAACGTTTAGCTAGATTTCTACTCACAAAGCACTGAACTGTATCAAATGTGAACAGAGTCTCTGTTCGCCTCAAACGTGGTGCTGCGTTCTGGATCCACATGGAGCTGTTGAACTCAGACTCCAATTCTGAGATATGATATCAATTTGGAGTAAGACTTAAAGAAAAGTAAACCCCTTTACAACCACGCAGCTCATGCTCTAACCGTTCACTATTTTCATATTTTTACAATATTTCATTTTTTCAATTTGTTAATTGAACTTTGGTTTTCTGCAGGCCTGAATAAATCTTGAATTCCCTCTAATTCTTTCTTGACTTTTCAGGGGCTTGTCTAGGCTTTTTTTTGCTTGATGTCAAATTTTCAGCTCTCTTTAGTTGTCCTAGAGTGGATCTTGTCTACTGGAAAAAGGCTTGGGATACCTCCCCAATCCACTGGCAGTTCTGTGTGACTGGAAATCGTTGCTTTTCCATCCAGAAAGGAATAATTTCTCCAAAAAATGATGTCTTTTAACCTTAGCTCTTTGCTTTGTGAAATAATAGCTGCTGTATATACAGTTAGTATTGAATGCTTATGTTTGCTCACAAAATACTTCTGGCTGTAGAAAATTCTGGACTTATAAACTTGCTGATAAACTTGCTGCTAATTTTAAAAAGGATCACACTTCCTGTTTCAGCAATACAGGGCCTTGTTCACGGGGGATGCACAATAAATATTTATTGAATGAACTTCATGAAAATCATTTAAGAAAACATTACATAGACTGTAACTAGAGGCCATGGAATGTTCCTTCCAGCTCTAAGATTTTAAGGCAAAGCCCCTAGGTGATTTCCTCACCCCAAGCCCCTGGGGTGCGCAGCTGGCAAAGGGAGTAAGCAGTTCTTATTTTCACTGCAGGAAGGAAGGAGTGTAGCTTCATGGGCAGTGTCTGGGGTCCCTGGGCTGGGTCTGTTTATCCAGACTGTAGCTGCTGTGGCTCTGAACAGCTGTTATTATTCCTAGATTTCTAACTTCTGTCTTTCCTCAAAGATTGAGGACCCGGGTTTTCTGCTCCCATCTCATTCATTTTGGTTTCAGAAACATCTTTTTTTTTTTTTTTTTTTAATTTCCCCCAAAGCCCCAGTAGATAGTTGTATGTCATAGCTGCACATCCTTCTAGTTGCTGTATGTGGGACGCGGCCATGGGAGAAGCGGTGCGTCGGTGCACGCCCGGGAACCTACCCGGGGCCGCCAGCATCGCAGCGCGGGCACTTAACCGCTAAGCCACGGGGCTGGCCCTCACAAATATCTATTGAGCATCAACTAGGTTCCAGGTACTGCGCTGGGTACCAGACAGCAAACGTGAGCAGCACAGAAGCTTTGACAGCCAGCCAGTCAGCTCTGTGACCGGAGTCAGGTACTCCTCTAGGGGCTCCATTTCCTTGTCTGTAAAATGGAGGGAGCGCAATGCTTATCTCTGCAGAAGGAAGCAGCTGCGCTATGTTGGGGCGCTTGCGTCTGTCCTCACCGAGGGAAACTGAGGACAGGGTGGCTGGACTACTGGACCGGTCACAGAGCTGGACCATCTCGGAGCTTCCCTGGGTGCGAGTCTGCCCTCAGCCCCTCGCAGATGGTGCCTGAAATCTCGCAGAGGGCCTGAGCCGCGCCCACGACCATTTGTCCAGAGGCGCTGTTCTGATCATCCAACAAAAGCGCGTGGTTTCCATCTGCTGGGCGCCCCTCTCAGCCGACACCCCCACCCCCGGCGGCGGGTCCAGATGGCCCCACCCCGCCCTCCGCGTCGGCGCTGCCCTCGCCCCGCTCCCCGTCTCCCGGGAACCCGCGGCAGCGCCCCATCCGCGACCCACCAGGCAGAGCCCGAGGGGGGCACGTGTCCGCGAACCCGCCCAGGACCCTGGGTCCCGGGCCGCTGCCCCGGCCCTCCCCGGACCAGCTGATGGATGTTCGCTGAAGAGGATAAGAGACCCCCCCAAGGACCCAAACGAGCTTGGCAGAAGCCCAAAGCAGCCTATCAATCGATTTTAAAAATTCTTCCTGCCCTCCCTGAAAACCCCTCCCAGCCTTTCCTGTCCCCTTCTCCTGGTTTCCCGACTCGATTGAAACACTGCGTCGCTGTTTCACATCTGCAGTCAGTCATTACACCCCTGTCTGGCCTTTGCAGGCGCTGGCCTGGTCTGAGAATGGAGCTCTGCCCCCACCAGTGGGGTAACCGAGCCCGCAGTTCCCTAAGCCTCGGGTTTCTGTCTGTGAGTAGGGATGACAGCACCTCCCTTGGCGGGTTACCCACAGAGGATTCGTGTCATACAGGAAATCTACAGCAGTTTTGTCCTTGTGGGGTGCAGTGACATGGTTGAAGATGTGACATCTGGAATCAGACTGCCTGGGTTCAAATCCCCTGTCCCTTCCGGCGGATGAGGGTAAGTTATTTAACCTCTGGGTGGCAGTCGCTTATTGTTAGTGATCATTATTGGTTTCATCATTTATTGGGCCCATCCTGGGCAGCAGGAGACAAGGACCAGTGGGAGGACAGGGCACGCGGGACCATATCCTCTGTTTTAACTGAGCCATCACTTAATATTTTTTTATTGTGGTAAATATATATATATAGAAAAATAAAATTTGCCATTTTAACCATTTATTTTATTTTATTTATTTATTTTTCCCCCAAAGCCCCAGCAGATAGCTATATGTCATAGCTGCACATCCTTCCAGTTGCTGTACGTGGGACGCGGCCTCAGCGCGGCCGGAGAAGCAGTGCGTCAGTGCGCGCCCGGGATCCGAACCCGGGCTGCCAGCAGCAGAGTGCGCGCACTTAACCGCCAAGCCACGGGACTGGCCCCATTTTAACTATTTTTAAGTGTACAATTCAGTGGCATTAATTACATTCACAGCGCTGTGCAATGATCACCACTATTTCCAAAACTTTTCATCACTTGAGACAGAAACTCTACCCCTTAAGCCATAACTCCCCATTCCCCCCTCCCTCCGGCCTCTGGTGACTCTAATCTACTCTCTTTCTCTACGAATTTGCCTGTTCTAGATATTTCATACAAGCCATCATTTATTTTTTAAGCACCCTCTGCGGATCTATAGCAGCTCTGTCAGTGCAGGAATGTAAAATGTATTATTTAGCATTTAGTTTGCTCATAAAATCATTAAATGTAGTATATTAAATTTAACGGTAGTTTTATTCAGGCAATCATGATAGATTTAGTAATTACATTTTTATTTCTAAAATAATATTTAAATTTTTTTTGTTCTAGCCTGTTTATTGTAGAAAATATGGGAAATATAGAAGAGTCTAAAAGAAGAGGTTAAAAATCACCTATAATTCCAAAGTTGTTACCATTTTGGTGTGGTTTTTAAGAAATTAGATTTACAATTAAATTCATTTCATGTTTTTAGGCTCTGAGCTGCTGAACTGAGGTTTTGGTCAGTTTGAGAAGGACCACCACACTTGAGATTAGAAGACCCGACCTGCGGTCTTTGAAGGCAAAGAAAAGTCTATCTGGACTTTGTGTCGGTTCCGTTGCCAAGCAGACGCAGAAAGCATTCATTTGCAGAAGGAGCTAAGGAAAAAGGAGAGGGAGGAATCCTCCGAAATTAATCATACAATGTTTATCAAAAGGAACTTTCTCTAGACGCACCTTTTCTCTAACCTAAAACTCTTACCAGTTTGGGCTTTTTTTTTTAAATGAACACACCATGTGCCAGGTCAGCATAAGGCACTTTCATATGTACTATCCATTCAATCCCACACCCTCCCCAGGAGGTCAATCTCATCCCCATTTTATGTCCTGGCTCTGCCACCCACGTGCTGTGTGACCTTGGGTAAGTTACTAAACCTCTCTGTGCTTTCAGGTCCTCATTTGTAAAAATAGTACCTACCTCATAATTTTGTTGGGAAGATTAAATGATTTAGTATGTAGAGCTCTTGGAATAGTATAAGCCCTTAGAATTTATAGGTGTAATGGAAGCGTTAGCTGCTAGGATTATCCTTACAGATGAGGCCCGCGAGACTCGAGGAGATTAATGAGCTCCCTGATGCCAACTTTTGTCATTTTCTTGAATTTTGGAGGACTGCAGGCTGGCTCAGATAGAGAAGGCTGCCTCCTCCTCCTCACAGGGGGGTTTTGGGTATATGATGTGCGTCCAGACAGGGCCCTCTCTCTCCCACCTGCCACAGGAGGCAGAAGGGGCTGAATCAGAGGACAAGTAGGGGACGGAAAACTGATCATATCTCACTCCTCAGCTTAAACCCCCCAGATGGCTTCCAATTCCCCTCAGGATTCAGCTCAACTCCTTAACAGATTTCCTCAGCCCTCAGGATCTGCCCCTCCCTGACCACGGCCCCAGTCTCATCTCTCCCCTGAAAATCTACTTCTGGTCATGCCAAAAGACCCTGTCCCTATTCCTGCCTCTGGTCCTTCTCCTACTCTGTTCCCTCTGTCTGGAACACTCTTCCCTCGCTCCTGCTCCACAGGCTAATTCCTAATCCTCTTTTAGGTCTTAGCTTATATTCACTACTGGAAGCCTTCAGTGGTCCCTTAGGTTAACTGCCCCTCGTGTGGGCTCCCCTGGCCCCCATACTGCCCCATAAATGCTATTTGTACATGTGGTGTGGTGGATGCTGTGATGCAGTCTCCGGATCCGCCTCCAGGAATGAAGGCCCTATCCCCAGCTGCTGGCAGAGCTGCCCGAGGGCGGCCCTCAGCTGCCAGCCCTCACTGAGGGGTGCCCTTAGCTGAAGAAAATTGCCTCACTCAAGGTTACATCCCCCTCCAGGGGCAACCTCGTCTAGTGACTGGTCACTTTTGTGGGATAAAGGCCCAGCACTCTTGCCACAACCTGGGACAGCTCCCAAGGATCATCTGTCTTCAGAACTTCCTATAGAGCTGACGGAAGCATCACCCTCTGCCCAGCCCTGCCCTTTCCCCTCTCTCGACGACGGCGATCCTGAGAGCATTCCCTGATAGACGCTCTCAGGCTCCTCTCCATCCCAGAGGCTCTGCCCAGGGAACCCCATCTGTGCCAGGTGCTCACTGTTCACAACCGCCCAGTGGCTCAGTAATGCCCCCGGGATAATATCTGAGGGTCTCAGCCTGGCCTCCAGGTCCCTCAGCATCCAACTTTCTCCCCACCACCCCCTCTTACTGTCCCCTGGGGAAATGTGACTCTTCATTGCTCCAAGTTTGACAGGAGATCTGCCTTTTCTGCACCTTTATTCTCGAGACCTCCCTCCCCTGAATGACCTCCCTGCGCTTCAGTAAACAATATTCAGCATTCTCCCTGTGCCAGGCCCTAACTAGGCATAGGGAACAAGATGGCGGTGAACCTGCCCTCATGACTCTTCAGCCCAGGAGGAGGAGAGACAGTGATAAACAAGTGATTACAAACGACAGGATGGTGCTCTGAGGGGAGGCAGAGACCCAGGAGATCACGTGACGGGGTAGGGGCTGACCTAACCCGGGTCTGGGAGGGCTTCCCTGAGGAGGTGCTGCTTAGGATGAGGAGGACTAAGCCAGGCTGAGAACCACGGGAATGGTGTCCAAGCATAGGGACTCCCACGCACAAGGAGTGTGAGGTGCTTCATAAACTGAGAGAAGCCCCGTGGGGCTGAGCCCCCTTCCTCTCTGGCCAGTTTCAGGGCACTTGTCAGAATCAAGTGATTGTCTGTTTGCTTCTCTCTCCACAGCACACTGGGGGAGTTTAGTGGGTACAGTGTTGCTAAAACCTCTTACAAACTTCTCTTTCTGACCCAGATGGAGTAATGGGCCAGATTTACCCTCCTGCCTTCAACAACTAAAAAGCCACAAAAAATATGAAACAACTGTTTTCAGACACTGGACAACTGGTAATGTGGGATGGAGATTCCTTTGAGTGGGAAAGCTGGTGTGGGGAGCACTGTAATTGCCCAGCTTAGAGCCTGGAGAGAGTTTCCAGGCCACAGGGCAAGAGGGGCACCCAGGTGGAACCCGGCATGAAGCTGAGTTACAGAGTCGAAGCTGAGAGTTCGGCAGGCCAAGGTGGCCAGAGTTCTCAGGGGAGACGGGGGAGGACACTGCTGCACAGAGAGAGAGAGAGCAGTCAGCGTTTTGCAGATGGCTTCTCTGTGTGGTGCCCCATCCCGGCCTTGGTCTTCAGCTGAGGACCGATCAGGGCATGCTGTCAACTACCTGAAGCCAGGGAAAGTTCCACCCGAATGGAGCAGGCACAACAGTCCTTCAAGCTCCCACATAGCTGGGAAGAGGGTGTTCACACCAGCCAGAGTCGAAAGCTTCCGCATTCACAGGGCATTGGGTAGAGTATTCAGAAGGGTGTCACCCTAGTGGTGGGGAAATCGATCCTAGACTACCGGCTATTCTAAGAAAGCTTAAAAGCAAGCCTCAAAAGGATCACATTGTTTCCAAGAAACTTAACTCTGTTCCAGAACAAAGACCAAGATTATTTTTTAAAAATACAGGAATATCCAGCACTCAAGAAGGTAAAATCCACACTGTCTGGCATCCAATCTACAATTACCAGGATACAAAGTAGTGGGAAAATATGACCCACAATGAAGAGAAAAAGCAATCAATCAAAACTGACCCAGAAATGATACAGATAATGGAATTTGTCGATATAGTTATTAGAACTATATTCCATACATATGAGAAGGTAGAGGGAAACATAACCATGTTAAGAAGCTACTCAAATAGACCTTCTAGAGATGAGGAGCACAATGTCTGAGATAAAAATTGCACTGGATAGATTAGCAGTAGATTAGTCACTGCAGAAGAAAAGATAATGAACACAAAAACACAGCCATAGGAACTCACGAAGATGAAACAGAGAGAGAAATAAGACTAAGAAACTGAACAGAGCATCAATGAGCTATGGGGCAACTTCAAGTAGCCTAAGATATGTGTAAGTGGGGTCCTCAAAGGAGAGGAAAGAAAGAGGGGAACATAAAAAAAATTTGAAGAAATAATGGTTGAAAACTTTTCAAACTTGATGAAAACTATGAACAAGAAGCCCAATGAACCCCAAGCAAAGATCTCTTCTATTCCCACTGCCTGGCTCACAGTTGGCATGCAATCCACGTTTGATAAATGAACCAGCAAATTGCTGCCTGCACAGACTCTCCCACCCTGCTCTCTCCCTATCATCTCCTCTTCTTCTTTCTTCCCCTCCCCTCCTTGCTTCTCTCTTGCTCCCAGGGCTTCTCATCTGCCAGAGTTGTCCTGAATGCATATGGTGGCCTCTATAAAAGCCACTGATCTTAGGTCTAGGATCTTGTCTCTGTTTCAGCTTTGTCATTGAGAGCCTCAAGCGGTCCAGCCTCCTTCAAATTTGAGTCTATCTAGGGGTTTAGAGATTAAAGCTAAAATATCCCGAGTCCTGCTGGCACGACCTCCCAGGGACTCCCAGTCTCTCAGTCCCTGTGGGGGTGGGGGGCCCAGGATGTAGCATGCTGTGTTCTACCCAAGTGTGTGGCAGAACAAGAGCCAGCCTCATTCATGGCTCACCTCCGCCACTCCATGTGAGGTTAGGCTAGTTGCTTCACGTCTCTGGGCCACCAGTTGTACAGTGGTGTTTGGGTTTTGATCATTTCCTAATCCTTGTCCAGCTCTGACATCTTGTGTTTGAAGCTACTATGCTCCAGTGTCACACGGCTTCTGTCCCTCCCCCTCCAGTCTCCCCTTCACTCCCCCTGGGGCTATTTTTCTCTTTGATCCGTCTCTTCCTTGCTAACAGTGTGTGGAAACTGGAAAGGAGGGAGGCGGGCAGGCCCCAGACCCTTTGTCCCTGCCAGGCCCCTTCCTTCAATAGCTCCCCAGAGTTTTCAGGTCCAAGTTCAAACTCATTAACTCCGCACACCAGGCCTTGGTTCTGAGAGCATGGTCTCTGGAACCAACAGCATCAGAATCACACTGCCCTCCCCCCACCAACATGCTAACAGGGAAGATCCTCATCAAGAAGGTCTGGGATGGGTCCTAGGAATTGGCCTTTACACAAAGCACCCCGGGAGATTAAAAAAAGATATTGGTGGTGATGGAGAGTTAGGTCATACTACACAGCTAAACAAATCCACACAGCAGGAAAAAAACATATGCTGAAGCTGTCCCCTGCCACCATCCTGTCCCCTCCCTGGAAGCAACCACAGTCACCGGTTCCAGGGATAGTTCCAAGCACATATATATATATATAGAGGCGTGTGCTTGAGCACAGGGATGTGCCCCATCACCTCTCCGACCTCTGCCAGCACTGCCCCCCTGAACCCCCTGCCATGCACCAGCATTGCTGAACTTGCCACAGCTCGGCCTCTGAGGATGCTGCTGCCGTCAGTGTGTCTTACCTCGTGCGGTTCTCCTGGCCCAGAAAGCCTTTCTTCCTGTTTTGCTGCCCAGCCAATATCTATTTATCCTTCAAGACTCAACTCAAGTGCCTCCTCTTCCAGGGACCCTTCCAGCCCTACCCTGTGCCCCACACTCTGGCTTCTCTGCAATTCCACTCTCCCTGTTACCAAACTGATCATGCTGGGTGGGCTTTCCTCTTTCTGTTCCCTCGCTGGTCTGTCAGCTCACTGCCGGGCCAGGGCCCTTATTCCCTGTTGAATTGCTGAGTCCCAGTACAGCCTACACAGTACATAGATACTCAGTAAATGGTGTTTAACGAATACCTAGACAGCAGGCATTCTGGCTCATTCTTGCCCTTCGCAGTTTGGAAATCCAAACCACAGTGAGCCTCACGCAGGCTCTCCGCCTTCTTGTGCTCCAGAAGGGGCCGGCGGAGGCGGAGGAGAGGACTCCGTGCAGAAAGCCAGAAGGAGGACACTCTCTCCTCGAGTCACAGGCAGGAGGGGGCCCTCAACTCCTGAGCACGCGTGGCTGAGGGGACTCAGAGGACGCTCACACCACTGGGATGGGGAGACCCAGCCCAAGTTTCCCTCCAGCCAGTGGGCAGAGCGGGGCTTGGCGGAGCATGGCTGGCAGAAGCAGTGTGACAGGCCTGCCTCCTCCCCACCCGTGCAGAGGGAGCAGGTGGCCCGGCTGCAGGGAGGGAGTAGGGAGATCCAACAGCGGGAGGGGGCATGGGAGAGGAAAGTGAAAAAGCAGAGTGGGGGCTGGGGGTGTGCGGCTGGCCAGGCGATTGTTTAATGAGTCAGTGTGCTGAGAACGCTAATGAGCTGGGTTCATTCATGGCGAGCTGCTTCCCGAATTGGGGAGCCGGCCAGGTTCTGGGGTGGAGGAACTGGGGATGGGAGCCAAGCTGGGGAGCTGCCCAGCTGCTGGGGCAGGGCCTCCCGTGATGGGCTGGCGGGGGGAGTCTTTGTCCTGGGTCTGAGGGGGCCCTCCTTTCTTCCCCCTTTTAAAGGAAAGGCTAGGCCTTGCCAGGCGGTGACAATTTGGCTCAAGGCCTGCTTGGGATTCACTATCCAGGGTAGTCTGGAAGCTTCTAGGGCAGCGGCTGGCTCTCAGGAGCCACAGGCAGGGCTGATCTTGCAGCCCCCTGCCTGCTCCCATCCCTCCTCCCACCCCTTCCCCCTGCCGCTCTGAAGCCCCCAGGGCATGTCGCCCAGTTAATCAACACTCCATTCTCCCCACATGGGTCCTGGCTTCCGAGGAGCCCTCCGAGGTCATGGGGCCAGGGAGGCACCGCTGGAGCAGAAGCTTGGAGACCAGACGCCTTCAACAGTCTGAGTGCCGTCTGTGACAGGCCTACTAAGCGCCTGGTGCTGGGTTAAGTGCCAAAGTGAGGAAGCCATGGGGGTGGGGGCGGGCTCTGCCTCAGGGGGAGTGTCAGGGAAGGAGCCACATGTGTAAACAGAGCTCCAGCTAGGAGCGGGTAAACAAAGCAGCCGGCTCAGAGGAATGAGGATTTAACTCCGCCTGAGGCAGCTGGGGAGGGTAGGCAAGGGAGGGGGGCTGAGCACCCCGTGGAGGAGGAGTAGGAATCTGAGTGAGAGGGGCGAGCAGGCTCCTGCAGACCGCCGACCTCTGGCCTGATTTGTGGGCGAGTTCTCTACGATCACACCACACCGGGACCCCTGAGAACGCCCTTTCCCCCTGAACCATCATTGAATTGATGCTCAAGGACCCATGGCCCTGGATGGAGCTCGTGGCGAGTATGATGGTTCAAAAGAACGATCAAAAGCCCATAACACCAGCCAAGTTCGTTGCGACATACTGGCCACAGTTCTATCTGTGCTATGACAGTAGAGATACTGCAAAATTCTCATCAAGATGGAAAAGAAAGGGCCGGCCCCGTGGCTTAGCGGTTAAGTGCGTGTGCTCCGCTGCTGGCGTCCCGGGTTCGGATCCCCGGCGCGCACCGACGCACCGCTTCTCCGGCCATGCTGAGGCCGCGTCCTACATACAGCAACTAGAAGGATGTGCAACTGTGACATACAACTATCTACTGGGGCGTTGGGGGAAAAATAAATAAATAAAAATTAAAAAAAAAAAAGATGGAAAAGAAAAACAAAGAAAACCTCTGAGCCTTTTGGTACCTGGTGGGTGATAAGGCTTTCAATACCACACCACCCTCTTTGGACAAACTGGATCCGTGCTGTGCCCACCCCCGGCACCTCGTGGACCAGCCACCTTTCTTTCTGATTTCTCCCAAGGGGAAACCCTGGCTGTCATCTCCTCTGAGGGGAGGTGCTTCTCAAGCTGCTCGACTGTTCCTTCTCAACTGTTTCTTCTTGCTGGCTGTAGGCAGCCTGGAATCAGGGCCCCACTGATGGACAAAGGATGTCTGGGTCCTACAGAGCACCTTGATTTGGGGGAGGGCGTTATCTTTTCTGGGTTGAGGATAATTCTCCCTCCCCCTGATTTCCTGTTCACACTCATGGCGACATCTGCCTTCCTGTGAGAAAAGTCCCTGCCCAAAGGAGCGTAAGGCCCCGGGGCTGACATGGATGGCCGTGGTGCTTCTCTCCCATGCAGGCTGCCCACCCTTTTGCAGCCCTCTCTGCAGTCCTTTGGTGACAGACTGAATATTCATTTTCTTCTGTTGTCACCTGTCAGAAATGGAGGGTTGCTAGTGTGAACAGAGGAAGAGTTGCTGTATTTGTAGCGCCCCCCACCCCCATATCCTGCTGCCCACCACCTGGGAAGCCAGCAGCAGTGAACTGGCAGAAATAACATCTCCCTGCTGTGCAAATGGCCAAATCCTGGCCATTCTTATTCTAGGTGCAGCTAGCTTCGGTGTCCCCCTCTGAGGAGTGGGGTTGCTGCTGTCTTGGCGAGAGTGTGTTGAAGGAGGGAAGGAGACGTCCTTGGCCTAGGTCTCTCAAGTCTGGCTCCCCGCCCCAGGCTCCGCCCTCCAGGTCCCAGGCTAAGTAAGGCGGGTGGCTTGGAGACGGCCACCTGAGGCACTGAGCTCCCTTGCACCAAGAATTGACAAAGCAAGTCTGGTGGGGCCTGGTAGCCGGTCCTGCCGTCGGAGAGAGCCTGTCTGTGACCCGGGGAAGAGGTCCAGGCGGCAAAACAAGATCCCCTCCCCTCTCCGGACCAGCAGCTGGGGCTGCGGGTGCCGGGTGTGTGCATCTAAGTGTGCGCATCCTAGCCGTGTGTGTGTGTGATCCTTGCCGTTTGTGTGTGTGTGTGTGTCTGCGCGCGTGTGTGTGTAAAGCCGGCGAGGGTCGGGACCGGGCCTCCCTCCTCCCCCACGTAGCCGCCTGCCCGCAGCCCCCTGCTCCTCGGAGGTTCCACCTTTGAAACTGTACGCTGCTCACAGCAGCAGCCGAGTGGTCTTCGGGAGGCGGGGACGGGGGTGGAGGGGTGTGTGTAGGGGAGGGCGGGGAGGAGTCTGGTCCTGGATGTGTGCTTTTCGATTGATGGATGACTGCCGGGTGGGAGTGAGCGTGCGGGTGTGAGTGTGTGATTCTGTGTGTGTGTGCGCGCGGGGTGCGTGTGCGCGCGGGGCCTGCCCATTTTCCTCCTCGCGGCAGTCAGTTGGGAGCTGGAGGGAGGGAGGGAGACGCAGCCAGCGAGAAACCGGAGAGGAGCCGAGCGCCCTCCGCCCAAGGCGCCCTCCCTGCGTCCGCGCACAGGCGCCGTCGCTTTGAGGAGCAAGGTGCCTCCCAGCCCTCAAGGGCGCCGCGCACAAGCCCGCGGTCTCTTGGGTGGCTCTGCCCCGGGACTGCACCTGGAGGCAGCCCCGGACGGGGATGGTAAGCGGCTGCCGCCGTCTGGCACGCAAGCAGGACGCGGTGAGGGCACCATGGCGCTGACGCCCCGGAGGGGGCCCTCGGCGGGGCTCATCCGGCCCGAGCTCTGGCTGCTGCTGTGGACAGCCGCGTGGCGCCTGGGTGCCACGGCGTGCCCCGCCCTCTGCACCTGCACTGGCACCACGGTGGATTGCCATGGCACAGGGCTGCAGGCCATCCCCAAGAACATCCCACGGAACACGGAGCGCCTGTGAGTATGGCCCCCATCCCCAGCCCGCAGGGAGCCCCGAGGTTGCCCTCCCATCCCGACGCAATTCAGGGCTGGGGGTGGGGGCAGGACCGTTGGGGCCCTGGCTCCGCAGCCAATAGACGAATCAGTGCCTGCCAGGGTCCTTGTCGAGCCAGGAGCCAGGAGCCCACTGTTTCCCTTTCCCGGGATTCAAAGGGCCCTCAGCAGGACTGTCAGCTCCCATTCTCACACCTGCACCCGCGCTCAGCACCGGCGGGTGCTTCGCACTGCGCCAGCGCTTTATTCCTCCAGGGTGCCTGTGAATCGGTGCCAGAAAGCCTTCCTGGCACCCCAGAGGGAAGCTCCTCGCGTTCGCCAGGCACCATGTCTCCTTTTGGGCAACCGAGGCTTGGGCTGTGTTCTGAGTGGGGCGTGTGGATCTGGGCTCTGAGGGCTTGCGGGCTGGTGGTGGGCAGCAGGATGGGACGGAGTTGAAGTTTCTAGTCTCCCCGTTTCTCCCCATTGTTTGCCCCGGAGCATTAAGAATTCTTCCCTTGGTCCCCCACCTCACATCCAGCCATCCCCAGCCCAGGCAGACAATGGGACCTGAGGGATTTGGGTTTGGGGCTTGGGGTATGTTACATTCAGCATCTGGAGAGGGGTAGGCATGATCTGGACCGGGAACGGGGAATAATGCTGCGAGTCAGGAGCTTGGAGCAGGAGACACGAGGTTAAAGACATTGACCACGAAAAGTCATAAAGAACATCATTTCTCTTCCCCTGTTCTCTCTCACTTCTAAATTCTTGAGGAAATTCTGCCCTTTCTAGACCCGCTGAGCTTTGTGGGGTGTGTGTGTGTGTGTGTGTGTGTGTGTTTACAGACCTGTATAATTTGTTCTCCGAGATTCTCCTGCAGCGTGTGTGTCTGTGTGAATTCCTAGTATCCGTGGTGTCACCTCAGTAGTGCGAGGCTGTGAATCCCTATACATGGGCAGTGTGTGTAGACTTTTGGTCCCATGCAGGGCCTTTGTGCTGCTTGCAGAGGTGACTGCCTCAGGAGATTTTTGAACTGGACTTCGGAGAAGGCTGCTGGCTCCTTTGAAAACTGCCTCCTCCTTGCCACACTCCTAGGTGACTGCAGTGGCTGTCAGGAAAGGTGTACATATTTTGATAACTTTCGAGTACATTTTCATGGCTCCCAGCTGGTCAGAGGCAGAAATCTGACCCTGGGGAGAGCTGTCTCCTGGATCACACTCTGTACCAAGGTCGGCAATTAGAGAGTGCACATTTGCCCCAGACTCTTCTTGGCTGAGTCTGAAAAATTCCCATGGAGGTTTCAGAGAATTTGCAATCTAGATGCAATATAGATGGGAATCGATGTGTGGTGTGTGTGTGTGTGTGTGAGCGGGCGTGTGTGTTGTGGGATGGGGGAAAGATGCTGGCGTGGGGACAGGACAGACCACACCGACTTTCCTTGGGACAGCCTGTGCATTATCCTGTGTGGCCCTGGAGAGGGGCTGAGGGTCACAAATCCATCCAGAGAACCCCTGCGGTTGCAGTCACCCTCCACACTTGTTCCCTCTGGACCTACTCTGTTCTTTTGCCTCCTCCACAGGGCATTTCTCCTGCAGCTGCTACCCTGGTAGCAGCCTAGGTCTGAGACATGTTAGCCCCTCGCCTTTGCTTGTGGATCTGAATCTTGAAGGCATCTCATTCCTTGTTCTCTCTCCACTTTTAGTTTTGAGAACAGTGTCTGTTTTGACTTTCATGAGCTCTTAAGCTCTTCTGCCATCACCGTGAGGTGGGAGTGACATTTCCTAGTGGAGAGGAAAGAGTTGGGGCTCCGACTGCCTAGACTGGAGCCCCAGCTCAGTGAGTTATTTGCTGTGTGATCTTGGGCAAGTTACTTAACTTCTCTGAGCCTTAGTTGCTTTCCATCAGGGGCTGCTGATACATAAGGTGTCTAGTTCTTGTGAGGACTGAAGATAATGGACAGGAAGTGCCTCGTACATTATGATGCTTGCTAAAAGAGAGCCATTATTTGGCTGGTCCCATGGCTTAGTGGTTAAGGGCACGCACTCCGCTGCTGGCGGCCCCGGTTCGGATCCCGGGCGAGCACCAACGCACGGCTTCTTCGGCCATGCTGAGGCTGTGTCCCACATACAGCAACTAGAAGGATGTGCAGCTATGACATACAACTATCTACTGGGGCTTTGGGGGAAAAAAAAATAAATAAATAAATAAAGAGTTTAAAAAAAAAAAAGAGAGCCATTATTATGATAGGAGCAGGAGAAGAGTCTCATTATTGCAAATGTTTACAGAGCCAGGAACTTAACCCTGGGTGCTGATGCTCCAGCGGGGAGTGAGCAAGTCCCTGCCCTCAAGGGATGTACAGTTGAGAGGAATGGCAGGGGATCCCTAACTGTAAGCTCTTGGGAGAGGGCCAGGCAGGGGCCTGATGGGGCTGTGGGGGGGAATATTGGGGTGAGAAGCCCTTTTCTGGGGTAAAGCGGCTTCTCAGAGGATGGGCTGTTTTATCAGGGCACTTTGGGACTCAGCAGTGGTTGGGTTGGATTTTGCCAAGCAGAGAGGGCAGGCAGCCCAGACAGAGGGAACACATCAACGAAAGGCCTGCAGGTGTGAGCATGCCTGCCCTGGGCAGCCGGACTTGCTTTACCCCAGGCTGAAACATGCTGTGTCCAGTGGGCTGCGATGGCATGTGAGGCTGGGAAGCTTAGGAAGGGTCAGGAAGGCCCTTCTCTCTCTGATTTTTCCTTTTGGGGTTTCAGGGTTGGACTCCAGGGGTGAGTTATCATGGGGGGTCAGGGGGGACGTCTGATCTTTGCTGCGTGCAAAACTTCTTGGATTGGCAAAGGATGTAGAGAGCAGGGGGAGCCTGCCCTTTCAACAAGCAGGCCTCGAAACAGCCATTTGAAGACGAAAAGAACATCCTGAGAAGAGGCCTTGGAGAGAACCCCGGGCGGACTCGAAATAACTGTGGCAAATGCTCTCTCTAATCAATACGGGCGTCGCAGCATCAGAGCCTGAAACGGCGGCTCCTTCTGAGGCTGTGAAATTTTTATGGACTGCAGCTGTGCATCCGCCTTTGTCCTCTGGGCAGTTTCTACTGCAGCCGGGGAGGCCCGGCAACTTTATGATCATATATTCCATAACTCTGGGTCCAGGCCCGTCCCCTCAAGTGGGAAGACATTGTCATTGGTTTGCTGCGGGAACTTCTGGGAATTGGCTATGCAGGCCCCAGAGCTGCTGAGGAAATTGGTTCAGCTAGAGGGGCTGTGGGGCTGGTGGGCCAGGTGAGGAAGGGATGCTGAATAATTCACAGCAATGGAGACCCTCTGGAAGCTTCGTCTCTTTGTAGGGCCAGGCTCAGAGAGACCCAGCCATGGCCACTATTAATTGTCTTTTCTTCCACTCAAGGACCTTGACTTTCAGTTGGATTATTTTAATTAAAAAAATCTTTTGGACTAGTGTGTCCAGGAAAGAGTGATAAGATAGTGCAGTATGTGGGGACACTGCTTCTCCCCTCTACCCTGGGCACTTGTATTCTGGGCTTGCCGCAGCTTCCCCTGGAGGGTGTGGGGTGCAGTGAGGGGAAAGGCCCGCGGATGGAGAGGCAGGGAAGGGCCCTGGGAAGGCCCACCGGCTTCCGTTTGCCCCCAGGCCCACACAGCACGTTTTGCTGCTCGTCAGCCCGTGGGGGCCACTCTCTTGCCTTCCTTGTTGTGTCCCCTTGCCTCCTGGCCAGTTTGTCCACTGCCCTAGCTCCCTGCCTGCTGCAGAGGCCTGAGGGGCCTGCGCCTTCTCCTGGCTTGGCCCCACATCTGGAGGCCCCATTCAACAGGGCTGGGTGGTCACGCCCAAGGAAGACTGCCCAGGGCACCCCCAGGCTGATTGTCTGGGATCCTGTTTGGAACTCCAAATAATGATTAGATGGTGGCCGTGGTGAGAAGGGTCAGGGGGCCAGATGGAAGCCATGCCTGCCAGCGGGGCCTTGCCGGCCTGGGCATTCTGAGCAGGCACTGTGGTCTCCTCCAGCGGATACCTGTGCTGTGCAGGGGGCGTTGCCTCCCGGTGGGCCTGTGTCTCCAGTCTCAGGTGCACGGGGCTTATTGCTGGGCTCTGACCGACTGGTGGTGGGGCCCCAGTGCGGTCACTCCATCTGCTCTGAGACTCAGTGTCCCCATCAGTAAAAGGGGTTGATGACAGCTTTGCAGGTTGACGGTGAGGATTAAGTAAGTGAGGGCATTAGAGGCCTGGCAGCATGCTTGGCACATGGCTGGTGTTCTACTATCCCGCGCCTCTGGGGATAGTGACATCTACTACCTTATGGGGCCTTTGCCAGGATACACTCACGCTATGTGTGTGAAAATACTATGCTTTCTGATTCAATTAGATGATATTATTATTTTTATTATTCGAGAAGCTCAAGCTAAGGGTTTGAGGGTTCAAGTGGGGCTGGAGAGTAAGCGTTTGAGTGTTGGCCATGCTGCAAGCTGCTCTCCTGGGGTCTGGCTGCTCAAGGGTGCTCCTTCCCGGTACCTGGGCATCCTGGCCCCACATCCTGGGAGCTGGAGCCAGGGAGTAGGGACGGTGCTGTGTGGGGACTCTCTGCAGGGTGGACGGCGTGATGGCATGGCTCTGGAGCCACTCTGCCACTCAGCAGCCGGGAGGACCTTGGGCCGGCGACAGGGTTTAATTCACTCATTCAACAGATAGCTCTCAATTGAATGTCTGCATCGCGCAGAATGAGTAGTGCCAGACAGAAGCCGAAACCGCCCCTTTCTCCCTGAGTGTGAGTCCAGCAGGGGAGGCAGAGATGAATGACACAGTATGAGAATAAACGCATAATTGCAAACTGGGATAAGTGCTCTGGAGGAAAGTGTGACTTTGCAGACCCCATTTGTTGCCTGTCAAGTGGGGATGTTGGCAGGACCACCTTCAAAGGGTGGTCGTGATGATTCAATGCCGTAATGCTGGGAGAAGCACTTCGCGCTGGGCCA